GGGGGGGGGGGGTAGAGGGGACTTTAGCGGGGTTTTGGGGGGTTCAGGGGGATCAAAAGGGCCGGGGGGGCTTTGGGGTATCTCTGGAGGGGCTGGGGTGGCTGGAGGTGTCAGATCTTGAGGATCTCTGAGGTACCTCTCAGGGGGCTGGAGGGTGATTTGGAGGTGCCCTGAGCCTCTTACGTCCCCCAGGCCCATGGGAACACCCCCCTGCACATGGCAGCAGCACTGCCCGGAACCGCCAGCCAGGAGCCCCTCGTGCGGCTGCTCCTGGCCTGGGGGGCTGACCCCAGTGCCCGAAACCTGGAGCATGACCTGCCTCAGGGGCTGCTGCCCCCTGGGCCCCCCGGAGACCAGGTGGGACCCCTGCACCCCTACCCCCACCCCCAGCACCCCCCTAGCACCCTGCTGCGTCCAAAAACCTCCTGCTGGTGGGGAGGAAATACCCCAAATCACTCCTGGAACACCAAAATCCCACTGTTTTATCCCAAATCCCTCTGTTTTACCCCAAATCCTGCTTTTGTACCCCAAATCCCATTGCTTTACCCCGCATTGGTCACAGCCAGCATAGCTTCATGAGGGGAAAGTCCTGCTTGTTGAACCTCATTTCCTTCTATGACAGGATAACCCACTTGGTTGATCTAGGAAAGACAGGAGATGTAATCCTTTTGGATTTCAGTAAAGCTTATGACACAGTCTCTCCCAGGATCCTTCTGGACAAACTGTCCAGCCCACAGCTGGATAAACACATTATGTGGTGGGGGAGCCATTGGTTCAAGAGTCGGGGACAGAAGGTGACAGTGACTGGAGTGACATCAGATTGTGACCTGTCACTAGTGGGGTTCCACAGGGCTCCATCCTGGGCCCTGTACTCTTCAACATCATCATCATCTATGACTTGGATGCAGAACTGGAAGGGACACTACTTAAGTTTGCTGATAACATTGAACTGGAGGAGCTGTCGAGTCACTCGAAGGCAGGGAGGCCCTGCAGAGACATCTCAACAAATCTGAGAGTTGGGCAATCACCAACTGAGTGAAGTTTAACAAGGGCAAGTGCCGGATTCTGCACCTGAGGCAGGGCAACCCTGGCTTTGTGTATAGACTGGGGAATGAGAGGCTTGAGAGCAGCTGCGGGAAGGGACCTGGGGGTCCTGGTCGATGGCCAGTTGACCCTGAGTCAGCAGTGCCCTGGCAGCCAGGAGGGCCAACCTGGGAAGCATCAGGCAAAGCATCACCAGCCAGTCAAGGGAGGGGATTGTCCGGCTCTACTCTGTACTGAGGAGGCCTCACCTCGAGTCCTGGGGACAGTTTTGGGCATCAAAATATAGAGAAGACACTGAGGTAAGGAGAACATCCAAACGAGGCCACAGGGATGAGGAAGGGTCCAGAGGGGAAGCTTTATGAGGAGCAGCTGAGGGCACTTGCTTTGTTCAGTCTGAGGTCAGACCTCACTGGGTTGTTCAACATCCTCATGAGGGCAGGTACTAACCTCTTCACTCTTGTGACCAGTGACAGGACCCAAGGGAATGGCTGGAGCTGTGCCAGGGGAGGTTTAGGCTGGGTATCGGGAAAAAGTTCTTCCCCCAGAGGTTGGCTGGGGCTCCCCAGGGCAGCAGTCACGGCCCCAAGGCTGACAGAATGCAAGCAGTGTTTGGACAATGCTCTCAGGGACATGGTGGGATTGTTGGGGTCTCTCCTCTTGAACATGGCCAGGAATTGGACTAGATGATCCTTGTTGGTCCCTTCCAACTTAGCATATTCTATGATAGCCTGCTGCTTTATCCCAAAATCCTGCCACTTGCCTCAAAATCCTGCTTTTTTACCCCAAATCCTGCTCTTTTACCCCCTAAATCCCACTGCTTTACCCTCAAATCCTGCTGATTTACCCTCCCCATTTTCACAATCCCTGAAACCGTGGAGTCCTGCCTGAGGACATTCAGGTGACACCCCTGTATTTTGGTGTCAAACCCTGGGATTTGGGGATCTTGCTGACCCCTCCCTCCCCCACAGCTCCGCCTCCTCCTGAGGAGCCGCCGCGGGTCCCGCCGGTCCCCCCCCCCGATGACCGAGTGATGTCATAGGGGTGAGATCTCCTGAGTATGGGGGTGGCACACCTCCATATGGGGGGATTCCCCACCATATCCGTTTTTCCTGATTTCAATGAAATTACCCACAAATTTCTGTGAAATGAGTTTGAACCACATTGGTTTGGGGAAGGGAGGAGTGGAAGAAGGGGGGATCCAGGCCCCCTTTCCCCCCAGTACTCTCCTCCCTCCCCAGCCTCGTTAATGGAGGTTGCTAATGAGGTGGAGGTCCCCCCCAAATTGGGGCATTTGGGGTGGAGAACCTCAAAACTGAGGAATTCTGGAATTAAATAAATATATTGTTAAAATCTGAGTCCAGTTTTTCCCAGTCCCCTCAGACCCTCCCAGTGCATCCCAGTCCTTCCTCAGTGCATCAGAAGGGGGGAAAAGGGCTTTGAATTGAGGGACAAACCTTCTTTTCCGTTATTTGAGGGATTTAAATCGAGGAAACCCCCTTCTTTGGCACCATTTTAAGGCCTTAAATCGAGGGGGAAAACGGCAGGAAACGCGAGAGTACAAGGGCAGAAAATCCGAGAAGAAAAGGGCAGTAACCATAAGCCCCCCAAATCCTGAAGGTCGCCCCCAGACCTGGGGGGGGGGGGGCGAGGGGGGCGCTGGAGAAGCTGCAGAGGGGACACACCCCTTAGAACCATCAAACCCCTCCCAGCACCCCCAAAACCATCCCAGCTCCTCCAACCCACCCTCAAACCTTCCCAGCAGCACCCAACACCATTTTAGCCACCTCTAGCCCCACTTTAGCCCACTTCAACCCCACCCAGCACCACTTAAAGCCCAATTAGTGCCCCTAAGTCCCTCACAGGAGGGCGCCCGGGGTGCCATCAATTGCTTCCTGCAGGAGACGGGCTGCAGCGATCATGAATATGCACTGGGCGGAGTCAATGCGCTAATTGGTCCGCATCACTGGCTCCGCCTACTGGGCGGAGTCAGCGCTGATTGGTCCACACAGTAACTGCATGCTATGCACAAACCCTGTTCCCTTACCCTAACCTTAAAAAAGAGACTGCAAGATATGCGCAAACCCTGTTCCCTAACCCTAACCTTAAAAAAGAGACTGCAAGCTGTGCGCAAACCCTGTTCCCTTACCCTAACCTAAAAAAAAAGAGTTTTAGGTTTAGGGTTAGGGTTAGGAAGGGTTATGGTTTGGTTTAGGGTTAGGGTTAGGGTTATGGTCTAGAATTTGGCAGAGTGTGTCTCGAAGCGCGATTTAAGAATCGCGGTTTAGGCCATTCCAGACACGCAGCGGTGCCCAATAAGCCCCTCTTGGGCTATAAGCCCAATTCACTGCCCACC